GCTGTGCGTACTCCATGTTTGATAGATCACAAACCTACTTGGCGTAAGTACATATTTTTTGCTGAGCTTAAGTATGGTTTTAGTAAGGATTCCACGCAATGTTATATAAATGAGACCCCAGGTTGTTTTCTTTTGCTGTCAGCAACAGAATAGTCCCCCTTTAATCTGCCTCATAAATGGTTCATGTATGAACTAATTTATCTTGATTTTGTTTTAACCCAGTAGAAATGCTTAGCTTTTAAGGGAGGACATCATGTTTCAAAACTCGTAATTAAAGGGATACTATGCAACTTTTTCATACTTTTAAATCCTTTCCTGAGCCATGTGCAAAAATTACCCATTACAAAGTGAATGAAACGTCACTCAGACCCCCACAGCCCTCTGTAGTGAGAATACCGCATTTGCAACTACAGCTGTGCTGTGCTATACCTGCCACTGCAGTCTGCTTCCAGCACATTTCCTGCATGTTTTAGATCAAGAACACAGCTGATTTGTTTAATTTAGGGATGAACCGCTCCTGTAGACACTAATGAAGGCTGGAGAGACATTTCAACAGATATATTAAGGTGTTAAAAAAATGAACAGCGATTAAATGACCTTTGCTTTCGGTTCTACTAAACAGACATTAGGGGGTGCTAAAAGCAAGACAAAACTGCCTAGTCTGCCTTTAATTCAACCTTTAAAATGTGTAACTACTTAAAATTATATGTACAATCTTTATAGTGTCAATATTAAGCTTCCACCTCATAACCAACAATACATTATTTTCAGAAAGGTTTATTTAAAGGTACAATAAGTAAAACATTTACAATGAAATAATCACTAAACAGCTGGTGACTCAATCATATTGAACAGAACGTTATATTGAACAGATTTTATTCTAAGCTAGCTGGAGGGTTCTCCTTTTAAAATGCTGAAGAGGGGCAAAGTCTTTGTTTACAATCTGTGAGCCTGCAGGGTCTGTGGCGAGCTAACGCTGCTGCGCCAGCATCTGGTATTCAACATCAGCAGGCATGAAGCTCAGGAGTTAAAGAACTGAATCCAGACACTTTACAGTAAGGGTCCGTTCATTAATGTTACTTAGGACATTATTAAGCTTTATAAAGGAAAGGATCCCTTTATTAACATTTGCAATATTGTTGGGGTTTGGGGGAGGGTCTGCATAGTAACTTGTCACTCAACATTAACAATAATAAGCAGCTGTTAATATTTTATTTAACAGTTTGTTAATGCTTACTATGCACTAATTAATATTTATAAAGGAACACTTGTTGTATAGTTTTACTAATGTATTTATTTGCTTATCTAATGCGTATGATTCGTCTTGGCACATCATCTAGAGTCTGGTGCTGATCTGTAGCTGGCAACAGCCACGAAACTCACAGAAAGGGAGTGAAAAAGTGACTTTTAGTTTTGAAAAGTGAACTGCAGCACCCAAATTTGATCACAGGGTGTCATTCTTACTTCATTTTTACATCATCCACCTTTGAATTAGTCCTTTTAGATTTAAATTTAGCAGTAAATAATTTTATGTTTGTCTGTTTGAACTTAACTTTACATTATTAGTAAAAGACCATTGGCCTTCTCTTAAGTCATATAGCGTTTTCCATATTAGTTCATCGACAAATATATTAAAAAAAAAGATCCACTGAATCAATAATTAGGACAGATTTTTCAGAAATTTTCTTGTAGATTTGCTACTGTGTCTGGATAGTTGTTATGTTGCCTTGCACAGTTCAGTGAAGATTGTCAGTCTGGATCAAGGCAACCAGAATGGTGAAGAAAAGGCAACAAGACTTTTATTAATTTGTAGGGCTGAAACGATTCCTCGAGTACCTCGAATAATTCGAGTACAAAATTACTCGAGTCAAATTCTCTGCCTCGAAGCTTCGTTTAATTCATGATTAATTAATTCTTGGCTTTGCAATCGCTCGGGGTCATGTTTCACCCGGACCGAAATAAGTGACGCGCATACACACTGCACTGTATGCACACGCGAGTAGCGAACGCAACTTAACTTTCTTTTAAGCCATGGCGGACAACGTGGACCCCGGTGGAGTGCGAAAAAGACACAAAATGTCAAAGGCGTGGGACCATTTTTCACGTCGTAAGGCGGAAAACGTACTCCGGTGTAAATACTGTAAAATGGATTTAGCCAACCTCAACACCACATCCTCCATGCTGCAGCACCTGACCAGGAAACATCCACATGTAAATGTCACTTCTGCAAGCGGAGTCGGAGCCTCCACAAGATATTGGATTTTAGCCTGTATTTCTATGTATTCTGCAGACACTGTGCGACTTTTTCATTTGTAGCACTCAGTTTCAGCTCACACTGTGCGTCTGGTAGCAACATGTCAGACATAAAATGTGCTAAAAATAGCAGTTTTTACAACACGTTGGACTTTTTACAGTGTTGTTATTGATGTCTGTTGTCACTCGGGACTGCTGCAGGAGGACACAGGTATTTATGAGAGTGGCGGAGGAAAACGAAAGGAAGTAAATAAATGTTTTGTGATCAGTATAACTTGACATAACCACGGCAAACATGCTTTCGACAATCCTTGTTAGTGTGAGACAAAAAAAGTGTAGAAATTAAAACGAACGTGTGTTAATAGGGAAACTGCTGGCGAGCCATGTTTGCGCATGCGCCGTGAGCGGTTCTGGTGCTGTTTGGACCGCAGCCGCTCGCATTTGTTTACCGTGAAGTAAAGTTGAAGTGCTGAAGTTTTGAAAACTGATTTTGAATAAAACTTGAAGAATAAGTGGCAATTGCTTTCTCATTTCAAGAGGTCTTTCATATTTTATAACATGCTGTTTGATATAATGGTTTACAAACGCAAAAGAGTAATTTATTAGAGTACTCGATTAATCGATAAAAGATTCGATAGAGTACTTGATTACAAAAATATTCGATAGCTGCAGCCCTATTAATTTGCCTAGAAAAGGAAGTACAGTGGAATATAGCAAAAAAGCTTTTATTTTATTACATTTTTGGTATTCGCACCTTTGAGATAATTAGAGATATTTGTGTTTAGTTATTTTTTTGTTTGTTTGTTTGCTAAAATGGGCACATCTGCATTCAAGCTAAGCGTTTATTTATGTTCTTATGTATTCATGTCATTATTTTAATCCACCTGCTTAAATCTGAACTTTGCTTTCCAGAGAAATAAGGTTTTCGCCTGCAACCTTTCCAAACGAGCTGCCTCGTCTTGTTCTAATTGTTTTGCTATGACTTTTAACATTTAACATGTAAACTGTGACCTTTACAATCGGAGATGCAGCCCTTTAATCTTTATAATTTTTTGGAGCGTTGCACAATCTGACCTTGGGGTAAAAGTACTGGGACCTCCACTCATGAGAAGACTAAGAATAGATCTTTTTATGACAGATGTTTTGATTCAAATGTGTAAGAAAAACACAGGTTAATAGACAAAGATCGCATCCCACATCTGCAGCTTCGCATCAACCAGAACATCTAAATGGAACTTGACTCTTGTTAAGGCTCACGTGCTTTATTTGCTCTTTAAAAACAAAATGTCTGTTGTGAAACAGACATACTTGTCCTGAATTCTTCCACTTGAAAATAATTAGTTGTACTGTAATTACGCACTTAGGTCTTGCACACATGTGACCAGTAAAACCGAATATCCTTCCCCACCCATCGTGGAAAAAACTTGGGTTTGGACCATCTCGTTTTCAGCTAAAAATCCAGTGTGTTGAGTAGCACATTCATTGACACAAGTCTGTAGGCGATAGGGATGGGTACCGAATTCGGTACTTTTTAAGGTACGACCGAGCACCGATTCACTTAATCGGAAACGGTGCCTCGTTTAGGTACCCGTCCTTCATAACGAGAACTTGCCTAGACAGCTGCGCATGCGCAAGAGCGTTAAGTCGTCGGTCGCTGCGAGCCAGTAGTAAACAGAGCAGCATGGTAGAAAGAACGCACGCTAAAGCTTGGGTCCACTTCACTAAATGTGATGGGTAACTGGGTGATGATGAAATCAGCGACAACGATCTAAGTGAGACATCCTCATCTTAATCTGCTCCGGTAGGTAAATAAAATGTAAGATAACGTTAGCTTGATTTGTTAGCTTCCGTTTTACTAATGGTGTGTTCGCTTTCTCCTCGGAACTCCGAAATTCCGACTAGAAGAACACAAACGCGCACTAAAGTTTGGCTTCACTTTACTAAATGCGACGGGTGATTGGGTGAAGATGAAACCAGTGACAACAATTTAAGTGTGAGGCATCATTGTTTTAATCTGCTCCAGCAGTTAAACTGTTTAAGATAACGTTAGCTTGATATGTTAGCTTCCTATGGCTGTGTCTCAATTCAGGGTCTGCATCCTTCGAAGGACCCAGCCCACCCGGCCGACGTGGGCTGCGTCCTCCGTCGGCCGGGTAGACCGGATGTTAACGGCTGTGAATTTGGACAGGCCTAGCCTTCATGAACTCCCTCGGCGAACGTTCCGTCGCCTAGCAACCGTGGAACCGCTGGGCAGAAGGAACCTTAAACGATGGAGCTCGACGTTTTATTTAGCTTTTTAACCCCCAGAAACCCAAATTTAGAAAACAACTGCAAAATATTTTTAACCTTTCACATGTTGTTCTAGGAGGCCAGATAAACGGGCCTATTTACACATTTTAACAGCCAATAGTGTTGCAGAACTGAATAGGACCTATTAGCAATGTAAATGTGGTTTTAAAAAGAAAAAAAATGGGGAAGGTTTATTTTTGTAGACTTAAATCTGATGTTGTGATACTACAACCGTGGGTCTCTGGGGGTTAATCATTTCCTTGACTGTTGGAGAGCTAATTCAGAGAAAATACTTTAGACTAGCTGAGCCTGAGCAAAGATGTGATAATAGTTTTTAATACTTTCTAAGGGTCTTAATTTGACCAAAACCGATTTATCACCTTTTAAAACTTTTCAAGACCCAGCGGATACCCTCTAGTAAACAATTCTCATTTGTAAACAAAAATAAAATTCAAGAGTTTAATGCAGAACTGATTTTATTTAGATATTTCTTTTACATGTACATGTTTAATCTTCATTAACCATTTTTTTCTAGCAAAGTAAAAAGCTGTCAAAGTTCTTCCTTCTCTCCTGTGCTCTCTGCTGCTCTGCAGCCTCATGTCCTCCCAGATCAGCTCCAGAAGCTCATCGCTGGCACCTTCCCCTGGATGCCCATTTTCTCCAGAATAGTCTTAACAAACATGTAAGAAAAGAAACAGGAAGAGAAAAGAGGACAACGGGTTATTCCTTTCATGTTTTCGCAGAAAAAAATATACTCAAACGAGTTTTTAAAATATGAGATGTTATTGTACCTCCATGCCACAGCCGCCGAATACTTTGCTCCGGTGATCATGTGGTCCATCTCCGCCCTAAGCTTAATAAATTCCCTGGTATTCTCTTTTGGTCCTAAAATACAAACTTCTATTAAAATCAGGGGGAAACGTAGTGGGAGAAGTACGACACCGAGCGCGGCCGAACATACGAGCCGAGACCGCAATACAAGCACTTTTACTGTAACATTTCTAACTAAAATAACGTTCATGTATCACAAAAAGTCCTTAAACTGACAGTTTTCAAGTTTATACTTACATTTATATGCGCAATCCTCTCCGACAGCTCCCGCTTCACCTTCCGCCATTGTTTTTAAGTTTTTCTGCCGGCCGGCCCGCAAGGCATCTTGGGAAATGCTACCTATTGAAGGATACACCCGACCCATCCTTCATTCAGGCGAAAAGAAGGCCGCATTCGTCGACCGCATTTGAAGGAGTCTTCGAATTGGGACAGGCCGAGTCGCGGCGCTGTGACGTAACCGGCCGACGAATCCGGCCGAGGTAGGATGCAGACCCTGAATTGAGACACAGCCTATGCCACCATTGTTATCATCTAATGGTGCGTTCGCTTTCTCCTCGGAAATTCTAACTTCCCAGTAGGAAAAATCTATTGAAAAAGGACGGCGAAAGGAATAACGATACACAGTAAATTTAGTTCACAGTAAAGATGTTTGCTTCAGTTTAATTATCAGCTTATAAAACTACAAGGACAATGTTAAAATATAAACAGTTGTATGTTATTTATCGTGATATTTATCAAATATGGTCATATATTGAGAAAAATATATATTTAATTATAAAAGAGAATTAAAAATATTAAAAACTCAAAAGTATCGAAAATTGGTACCGTTAAGTACCGGTATCGATTCGTAGGTACCGGGAATTAGTACCGGATCGATTCAAATGTCAAAGGTACCCATCCTACTAGGCGACAGTAGCTCCCCAAATCATTTTGCTAAAAACATTCCTCAGAATAACAAGGTGGTGGGAAATAATCATTCGTACCGCCGTCCTCCGCCTAAGGTTTTCTACATAGAGCAGTATCTGAGCTTGTAAACACAAGTAGGCTAAGCTAAATAAAAGTTGCACATATGATGTCAAAGCATTTTTGTCGCTGACCGTGACATTACCAAACTTAAAACCCCGGTTATTTACGTCCACAAGCAAATGCTAACAACGAATAATTTGCTAATCTCCACTTTGGTCTAAGTTTTTTTTTTAATTAATCATCATTTGGTGGCAATTGTAACTTTCATGTGGAAGACAGGTGAAACCATAGAAAAATGTCTTCATTGTGTAGGATTTCTACAGGCTACGTGTGTACATGGTTTTAAAATCCCTTGGAAAACTCTTTCCAATTTGCATAAACAATCATTCTTCTAAGATGTTTTGTCTAATTAAATCTTCCTGACCTGCGAACGGTCAAAACTACAGCTTTTCTTTATAGTGTGGAACAATGAAAATCCACTTTTTAATTATTATTTCTATAATCGATAACTCAGAGTTAATGCAGGCTGAATATTAGAATAGCCTCCTACACCTAACTTCTGCGTTTGCTTCTGATAGAAAATCGACAGTGAGAATCCTAACCACTCTCCATGACATTGTGAACCAGACTTACCCATATAGACTCACGACAGCGAAGGCTGTTGTTTTAGCGTCCAAAATTAGCAAACAACATCTCGTTCAACAGAAGCTGACCGTGAGCATCAGCAAATCAAGCACACAGCTGAAGATCCTCCAGATCTGTTATCTGTGGAGATAAAACATCCATGTCCCAGGGCAAACATTTAGTGGTAGAGTTGCGTTGCTTCTACCCAATCCGAGACCAGATGTCTAAATATCAGGAAATGAGACTCCAAATCTTCCCGTTTGAAGCCCAGCTCTGATGTGGGGTTTTGTGTGCTCTGAGTTCTGCCTGCAAGGCATTCATTTCTAACGGAGACCACTGCAAATGTATTAATCAAACGAGTAATCCACATCTTTAAAGTGCATTTGAGTAGCATCTGGCAGTTACTTCGTAAAACAAAAACTTGTGTGACTGTGTCTTTGTTCAGCACATGAGCAGGCGTGGTACCAGATTAGGAAATCACTTTCCTGCTAATTTCATAAAGTAGTGGCAACCAATTTCTTGTTTTTTTGCAAAATCCCAAGGAAAGTGTAAAAATATAAGATCTCATGTGACTTTTTTGTCAGTAATGAAATATATTACACTGGTTTGATGGATGATGGGGAGTTTTTCAAGGCAGCAATATGTATGCAAGCTATTTTTAATGGATGTTTGAAAACAAAGTGAGTTTACAGCATCTCTGGAATGATTTAGGTAGGCGGCTGTGTGGAACGGAGTGTATTAGTGAGTGCAGCAAATATCATTTCTGATAACGAAACACAACTAAAATACATAAAAAAACTGTTATTAACAAACTGTTACAGGGCTGCTCAACTTCAGTGGGATCACCATCCATGTTAATTTCTACGTTTTTGTTTTACCCTTCATTGATTTCCAGATATTTTCCAAACGCAGAAATTTAAACTGAAGGGTGTCAAAGAAACTACAAAGCAGAGCCATTAAGCAACATAAATTCTTCACTAAAACGGATGTAAAATCGTTTAAGCCTTTACAAAAACCAAGTGTTTGGCTGACGAAAGGAAAACGTGTTTGGAGCATCTGGGGATTTTCCAGCCACACTTTCCTTTCTGAGGTTTTTGCTGTAACGCTGTAAGTCGGAGTCCCTGCATCTGTCCATTACATGCTTGTTTAAGTTAGCGGTGAGCCCCTAATGCTTCCCGTGTTCCAGCCCGGCCATGCTAGTTTAGTGACTCTGTGCTGCCTTAAACGCCGTTCTGTGTTAGCCTGGGGACTGTGAGACTGTTAAATACTACAGTAGACTCAAGCATTGGGACCTACCCCGTGTTAAATACTGAAGCAGTCTTTGTTTGAATTGGGAGCCTGTGTCTGCAAGCATCAAGCTATAGTTTCCTGCCAATCCTGGGAGTTTAGAAAGCCTTCGTTCAGTCAGCAGATGTGCTTTGGGACGTGTCTACTTGCTGTTAAAGCGAACATCTTTCAGTGCTCAAGGGGCGGCTGCTTGTTAGCTGTTGAAGGACCAGCCTTTATATATTCTGTTAGTATCAGGAGAATGTTTTATGCTCTGCTAAGGTGGACTGCGTTGTCCCTGTTCACAGCTCCCTGCTCTGTTCAAAGAGTCATGTTTGATGTTACAAGTGAGCAGTGCATATGCTCCTAAGGCTGTTATTTGTAGGTGTTTGAAGTCGTAACACCGCTCAGACATTGTAAAATTAGACTCCAGATCAGAAAGTGCCATTTTACTCCAGGTACCTCATTATTGTCTGTAACAGAAACGGCTCTTTGTGAGTGAAACCGACACTGGTCAAGTGACAACTGTCTCTCCCAGGCTACCCTGGATGTTTGTTTGTAAGTGGATTGTGAGAACTAATTCTTTGTTAGCAGAGGGATTTGGGGCTGTTTTTGTGTGTTTTGAGTTGGCAGAACTGCATGAAAATTGGGTTTCACGGTGCAGAAGGTGTCTAGTTTATCCTCATTTCTGTTTAATTTCTGCATGAATGTTTTCCAGTCATCATTTTATCCTCATAACACACTAACCCAAAGACCAATTAATGAGAATGAGACTTTTGATGTAAAGAATCACTGAAAGTTCATGGCAAAAAACATATACTTAAATGCTATGGATTGTCTTGTTCTTCAGCACAGTAAAGACACTCAGTTATGTGTAATTAGTCCTTGTAATTATACCCTTTGTGTCTATTTATTGTTCGGTTTGTCCTTTAGTGCTGCTGTGCATTGTATCCCCTGTTTTAGCTCCAGTAGAAGCAATTCAACCGCCAGAAAGGCTCACATTTTAAACACTGATGGGATCTGCACACCTAGAGCTACATTACATTCACATATTCATGCAATAGTTCTCATCTTATCTGATCCCTGCCACTTTTAAAGGCATCACTCAATGCAGCCATCATCAGGAAAACATTTCCTTCCCCTTTAAATGTTGTTCAGCTGCATATTGCCCCCCCCCCCCCCCCCCATCAGAAATGATCCTGCATATTCTGCATATTTTTTCTCTAAATGTTAACTAGAAAACGTCCAGAGGTAATATCCACCTCTCTCTCCCTGCATGCCAAATGAGGCAGCATGACCCAGAGTTCAAGACAGGTTTTATTATTTCATGTTCATCTCGGATAAAGTGCTTTCACGCCACTTTCTGCTGGATGAGATTTTCCTTCAGCACCGTACAAATGATTTTCTTCAAATGTGCTCAGTGATCAGCCGCGATTAATCACATTAATGCACTAAAGTATGACTTTAAGGCTTGTGTTTTAGTTTTTGTGTAACCCCAGAAGTCCGGGACTCCTTCGTGGCGCTGCTACTGCTGCTCTTCTCCTCTGCATGTGACCTTGGAAGCGGCCGCGAGCATCATTTTGTTGACACAGAATTTGCGGTGCTAGTTGTTTGCACTTTTGTGCAGCCATAAGTGGGATGGTACTTAGCAGCATCTGGGGGCCATACTTTGTCGGGCCAAGTTAATGTAGCTGCGCCATCCAAACTGACCAACTGCATTAAACATTAATGTAGCACATTGCTGGGCTCATCATCCTCCTCCTCCCTTTCC